TCAAGGTGGGTAAATATTACTATAGTAACGACTCATTTCTATAGGAGAAATTTGGAAAATAAACCTAGAATCCCTGGAACACGGGTAGAAATGCATGTTGCACAAAATGGACAGTACAGAAAAGCAAAAGTCAGGCTTCCACTTCCATTAAGAATAAAAAAATTTTAAAAATATAAAAAACATATAATTCAGTGGCCTCAAATAAAAATTTCAGCAATGTATCAAAAGGATAATAAAAAAAATAAAAAAGAAACAAGAACGACCTCAAATGAACAATTTTCTTCTTTTTCTAGTTCTTTGAGGAGTCAACTAATCCTAATGTTAGCAGAAGGAAGAAAATAAAGATCAAATCAGAAATTTAAAAAAAAGAATACTTTTCTTTTTGATATGGGCTAATTGAAAACATTATGTTTTGAGTGACTATCTCATGCCCTGTTGAGCATGGATAAAATCACAAGAGAAAGGGATAGTGTTCCATTTTTTTTTTTTTTAAGCATGACACAATACCAAAATACGCTTGTCGTATGAAATACAGTGTTCTAGAGAAGCTAATTGTATGTCTCCTTTAATTCCATTATATCAAATAACTCTTGATCATGAAATTCTTTTTAAGATTGATTTATTTATTTGAGAGAAAAAGATTGAGAGAACACGAGCAGGAGGGGCAGAGGGAAATGGAGAGAGAATCCCAAGCAGACTCTGCGCTGAGCGCAGAGCCCGATGAGGGGCTTAATCTCACAATCCTGAGATCGTGACCTGAGCCGAAACCAAGAGTCAATGCTTTTTTTTTTTTTTTTAAAGATTTTATTTATTTATTTGACAGAGAGAGACACAGCGAGAGAGGGAACACAAACAGGGGGAGTGGGAGAGGGAGAAGCAGGCTTCCCGCCGAGCAAGGAGCCCGATGTGGGACTCGATCCCAGGACCCTGAGATCATGACCTGAGCCGAAGACAGACGCTTAACGACTGAGCCACCCAGGCGCCCCCAAGAGTCAATGCTTAACTGGCTGTGTTATCCAGGTGCCCTGATCATGAAATGTTTTAAATACAGGCTGGATCTCTTGGGTTGCCCTTTATCTGACTCTTTCATTTTTAGTAGGATAGAAAAAGGGCCACACCATTATTAAAGCAAATTTTTTTACTATAAAGTATTGACAATTAGGTTTCTTTGCTGTCTTTTCGTCTGCTGTGGTGGTCTCAACCCTTGCTGCTCATTAGAATCACCAGGAGAAAGTTTTACAAAATATAGATACCTGGGTTCTACCTCAAATTTCTGGTTCAATTCTGATTCAAGGTGGAACATGGGCATGTGTGTGTGCGCGCCCACGCATGTATGTGTATGTGTTTAAACTACCCGTGTGGCTCTAATGTTTGGCCAGGGCTGAGAATTACTGTTCTAGACCCTTAACAAATCCTTAACAATTAACCACATTGTATTGATAATCTGTAAAATGGCATAAAAATTGTAAGCTTAGGTAGATGGCACCAGGTTATGTCTAGAGTGTCTGGGAGTCTCCTGCAGCTCTGAATTTCTGGAATTTTAGTCCCATGTCCTGTAGGTGATGTCTGATTATTAGCCAACTTACTTGAGACCCTTAGTAAGGAAACCCCTTTGTGAAAAAGGCCCAATCTGGTGGGGTGGGATGCCTGACTTAAGAGGTGGCTTCACTCAGAATGATGGTCCCCCAATTCTGCAGTGAGAGATTTCTGTAAAACAGTCCTTTGAGATTGGTTTTATTTCACTGGGACAACTCAGGACACTGAGGCTTAAAGAGAGTATCTCATTAGGAGGTGGCGGAGCTAGGATTTGCGAGTGGATTGGTTTGTCTCTTGGACACATGCTTTTTCCCGTTATCACACTGTTTCTCACAGGTCGAGTGGATCTTCCATGGCCTCGGTTGCTTGTGCTATGGTGCGCATAGAAATAAGATGGACTGAGGGCTCGTGAGCAGCCCCTGCTGCCATGGCGAATACCCATGTATTTGAACACATTTGGACTAATGTGAACAAATGCTCATTAGTGATGGGTGACATGTATGTCCTTAATGCTTGCAGACTGTGAAGACTCTTTTATTGTTTTTATGTATAAGTTCTACTGTGGTCGTCTAACATATATATGTAAAAGGGGTTCTTACAGTCCTTTTCAGGGAAGAACGATTGGAGTAGCCTATTAAAACCATATTTATTGAATGTATTAAATGTAATTTATTGAGGGGCGCCTGGGTGGCTCAGTTGGTTAAGCGACTGCCTTCGGCTTGGGTCATGATCCTGGAGTCCCGGGATCGAGTCCCGCATTGGGCTCCCTGCTCGGCGGGGAGCCTGCTTCTCCCTCTGACCCTCCCCCCTCTCATGCTCTCTATCTCTCATTCTCTCTCTCGCAAATAAATAAATAAATAATCTTAAAAAAAAAGTAATTTATTGAGAGTTCTGTAAAACTTGTCATCTAATAATGTGAGGTAGTTCCTGATGATTGATTTTTATTAGCTGAATGACTGGTAATGCCTTTGCTCAGAACTTTACGTGTCAGGTCAAGAGTGTAAACTTATTAATGGGGAAGTACCCACCTTCTAGTTATAGCAGAGATAATTACAAAAACAATTTTCATTTACTGACCTTCTGTTACGGGACAAGACACTGCAGATGTATTCTCTCTAATCTTCATGAGTTAAGTGGAATTCTTATTTTGCAGTACAGAAAACTAGACTTTGCTAAAAAAAACCCCCAAGACTGCAGTGCTAGTAGGTAATAGAGCTAAGATTGAAACTTAACTTTTCTGACTCTAAAACCTTGCTTAAGAGCTGTCCTGGTAGGGAGACTCTTCCTTCCTGTTAGTCCTCTTTTTTTTGTTTTTTTGTTTTTTTTAAATAAAGAAATTTCACTGAAAGTGTTTCTTCAAAGTGATTGTTCCAAATTAGTTTATCCTTATGTCTCAAAGAGCCGTTTACCATATGGATCTCCCCTTTCCCCGTTTGGTAGCTCGTTCTTTGGGGATTTTTCACAACCTCTTATGTATGTATGTGTGTGTATGAAATACAATATACGTGCAGAAATGTGTTGGAAACAGTGTGCGGCTGAAAGATATTGTAAACAAGCACCCATCTAACCACCACCAAGGCCAAGAAATGGAACCTGGAAGCCCTGTTCTTCTCCCTCCAGTCATTATCCCTTTCTTCCAGAGATACCCTGACTTTATGAAAATCCCTTCCTTGTTTTGCTTTTTAATTTTACTACTTAGATATTTATCTCTAAATTACGTAGTTTTGCCTGTTTCTGAACTTTATGTGAATAGATTAATAAAGCAGATACTTTTGCATCTGGCTTTACTTGCTCAACAGATTCCGTAATACCATTTTCTGCATAAGGATCATGCACATATTTTGTTAGACTTATTTCCATGTACTTGTTATATTTTTATGTGATCAAAATGGCATATTTGTCAAAATTTTATTTTTAACAATTGCTCTTATAAAATTAATAATTAATTTTTTTGAGCTTTGATGTTATGGTCAGCAATGTTGGTAATAAAAATCCTTTAACATCGTAATAATAGGGGCGCCTGGGTGGCTCAGTCGGTTGGGCGTCTGCCTTCCGCCTGGGTCATGGTACCAGGGTCCTGGGATCGAGTTCCGCATTGGGCTCCCTGCTTGGCAGGGAGTCTGCTTCTCCCTTTGCCCCTGCCCCGCCCCCCTGCTCATGCTCTCCCTCCCTCTCTCTCTCTCAAAAATACATAAATAAAATCTTAAAAAAAAAATTAAATTGTAATAATAGTGAGGCCTTTGATTTTTTTTTTCTATGAACATAGTCTTCTCATCTGTAAATAATACCCCCTTTACCTTCTTTTTTAACTCATGTCTTTTTCTTGCCTTATTATCATGGCCAAGACCTCTAGTACAATGTTGAGTAGAAGAAATGGTGGTAGACATCCTGTCTCATTCCCTTTTTGGGAGTGCTTTTGATATTTTACCAGTTAGTATTACGTTTATTATAGGTTTTTGGCATGTATCTTTTAGAATAGGAATTTCCCTTCTGTTGCTCAAGTTATTTTTTTAATCAATAGATGTCACTTTTTCTATATCGAGATTAGAATATGATTTTTTTTCTCTTAATCTGTTAATATGGTCAATTATATTGACTTTTATTTTATTTTTTTAATTTAAATTCAATTAGCCACCATATAGTACATCATTAGTTTTTGTATATTGACCGGCTTTAAAAATAAATAAATAAATAAGGGTGGAGTCCAGATTTAAATTCAGTTCGATCAGGGTGTTAGGATCCTTTTGAAATAATGCAGATTTGATGTGCCTAATATTTTCTTTAAGATTTTTGAATCTGTGATCAGGAATGAGACTGGCCTGTAGTTTTCAGCTCTTGTACAGCTCTAATTGTGTTTTTGTACTTGGCTCAATCTAAACTCCAGGCTGTGGAAAGTGCCCCTTGCTCCTGTTCTCCGGAAGGATTTGTATAATTTAGCCTTAAATCTTGTGTTAAGTGTTATTGCTTCCTTAAATTTTTTGGTAGAATGTGATGGTGTAGGTCTGCAGTTTATTATTATTATTTTTTTTTCTGTGGGAAGGTTTTTAATTACTCATTCAGCTTCTTAAAGGACTGTTCGGGTTTTACATTTCTTGGGACTGTTTTGGTAGGTTGGATTTTTTGACAATTTTTCCAAGTTGTCCAAAATGTTAAACTTTTTGGGATAAAGTTGATTGAAATATGCTCTTTAACTATCTTCACTATCTGCAGCTAATGTCTTTTTTCTCTGTTCTGTTCCTCAGTCTTCATTCAAAGGTTTGGCATGCTTATTAATATTCTCCAATGGCTAGCTCACACCTTTGCTGATTGTCACTGTTTTATGCTTGTTTTCTATTGAATTTCTGCTCTTATTAGTATTTCCTTCTGTGCGCTTTCTTTGGCTTTATTTTGGTCTGGAGATGCATACTTAGCTTTGTAATTTTTAGCCGCTCTTATTTTCTAACATATATATTTCTTTTTTTAAGTAACCTGTACGCCCAACGTGGGGCTTGAAATCATGACCCCGAGATCAAGAGTGTTACATGCTCTACCAACTGAGCCAGCAAGGTATCCCTCTAACATATATATTTCTTGTTTTAAGTAGTTTTGGCTTCATCACACAAGTTTTAAAATGTAGTAAATTTGTTATACGGTTTAAAATATTTTCTAGTTTTTACTGTTTTTTTCTTTGACCTAAGAGTTACTTAGATGTTATTTAATTTTCAAATAAATTGGGGTTGATTTAGTTCTGCTTGACAAAACATCATTTCTATTTCCTTTAGTGTAGTTCTGCTAGTGATGATTTTTTTCAGTTTTTGTTATTCTTTTTTTTTAAAGATTTTATTTATTTGTCGGAGCGAGCACGAGCGGGGGGAGGGGCAGAGGGAGAGGGAGGTCAGCAGACTCTCTGTTGAGCAGGGAGCCCCACACAGGGTTCGATCCCAGGACCCCCGAGATTATGACCTGAGCGGAAGCAGACACTTAACCGACTGAGCCACCCAGGCGCCCCTAAAGATTTTATGCTCTACATCCAATGTGCAGCTCGAACTCACAACCCCGAGATCAAAAGTTACATGCTCTCCTGGCTAAGCCAGCCAGGTGCCCACCCCTAATTATTGCTGCTTTGAATGTAATCTTCCTCTTTTCTCTGGCTCCTTTTAAAATTTTATCTGCATCTTTTAATTTTCTGCATTTTTACTATATTGTGCCAAAAGCATAGATTTCATTTACCCCTTCTGGGTTTATTAGGGTTTCTTGAATCTGAGAGTGGAATCTTTAGTGAATTTTGGAAAATTCTCAGTTGTTATCTTTCTATGTTGTTTCTAGCCCATTTTCTCATTCCTCCATCTCCAATGAAATATGTGTTACTTATTTTAGTGTGTTCTCCATATGTCCTTCTGTTTCAGTTATCTGTTGTTGCACGTAAGTCACTAATAATTAGTGGCTTGGAACAGTTCATGAATACTGGGAAGCATGGTTCACTCAGCCCTGTCTTTAGAAACTAGCTACCATACCTCTTATCCCTGCAGTTTTGCCCATCCTTATGCCTCTCTGTAATTCATTTTGAATACTCCCCCCTCCAACTTAACCTTTCAGCTTTCTTCATCTGTTGAGTTTCTAATTTAAAAAAGATTGTTTTCACATGGAGAACTAGTATTTTCTTCTTTTTCAAACCCATGTCATTAAAAAAAAAAGTTTCCAGTTCCCTACTGAATTTTCTTTTTAAAGATTTTATTTTTAAGTACTCTCTATACCCCGTGTGGGGCTTGAACTCACAATCCTGAATCAAGAGTCGCATGCTCTTCCGACTGAGCCAGCCAGGCATTCCAAAGCCTACTGACATTTTTAAGTTTGGCTTTTAGCCCCTTCAATATGTTAAGCATAGGTATTTTATAGTCCCAATTCAGACAGTTTTAGTATTTGGAGTCTTGTTTGTTTTTGTTTTTTTTTTTCTGTTGTGTCTCGTTTCTGCTTTTTCTTGCTCATGATTGCTTTTTTTCATGCATAAATGGTTATGTTTGATTATGTTTGGATATTGTGCTTGAAAAGCTAAGATGCCTTACGCCTCTAGAGAATGTTTTTGTTTTCTGCTGTCAGATGCCCGAAGGTACTAGCTTTCTGGAATCCTCTTATTAATCTGAGTCATCTGAGCCACCCAGATGACTTGAAGCCTGGCTGTAAGTCCATATGAGGGTTGGTGACTTTCTGTTCACTGTCCTTTTTTTTTTGTTTTAATCCCCAAATGAGGTGGTCTACTCTTATTGGGCCCCAACTTCTGTTTTTTTCTCTCCCAGAGGCCATCAGAAATAACCTTCATCCTCTCATTTTCCTAGGGTATCAGCAGATACAGCCATGTTTTCACTTTTGTTTCATCTTTTTTACTTCCCAGCAACATGACAAGGTTAGTTTCAAGGCAAGAAAGCGCATCTCTTCCAAATCCAAACAGACAGCTTATTAAGAATTTGGAAGCCCATGGTGACAAAAAAGTAAAAGCTCGGTTAACAGGCCTCAGCAAAGGTCACCTGGAGTGCTGTCACACATAACTCAGATCATTTTTTTTAAAGATTTTATTTATGTATTTGACAGAGACAGTGAGAGAGAGAGCACAAGCAGGGGGAGTGGGAGAGGGAGAAGCAGGCTTTTTGCCGAGCAGGGAGCCCGACACGGGGCTCGATCCCAGGACCCTGGGATCCTGACCTGAGCTGAAGGCAGACGCTTAACGACTGAGCCACCCAGGCGCCCCTCAGATCATTTTTTTAAGGAGCAAGTCCCCATGTCCACACAAGTTACAATACTGTAGCATAGATAGACATCTACATAGGCATTTCTACATTTCATCGTGCCAACCAAGTGTAACTGTATCTGAGCAAAACAGCCCCATCTGTGTCCTCCCACCCACCTTGAGACTTGGTACTCAGTGGTTTCTCACAGTTTTTTTTTTTTTTTGGTTTCTCACAGTTTTAACAGCTCTTTGGTACCTGTTAAGGTATTCTTCTTTGCTCAGCTGTTACCTTCAGTGGGTATATTGGCCGTGATTATCTGGTCCAGTAAAAGTTGATACAATTTTTAGGATTGGTTTGCTTTTTAGCCTTTATTCCTTAGGTTTTATGTGCATTCTTTATACATCGAGGTAATACATATTAATGGTGATCTTGGAGGACCAGTAACTTGTCATACCCCTAGTTTAATATTTGTTCTGGTCAGCATTGGCTTCCTGTGTTTTGCCTCCTCTTTAAACTCTTTACAACCCTAGACCATTAGAAGAGCGTCCTAGGCACTGTCTGAGCCATTGCTTTTCAATATGGCTTATGTTCCTCCTGCATAAGAATTATCAGGGAGGAAGTTACTAAAAATGATCTGGTCCAATGACTGCAGTTTTCATACAAGGAAACACAACAAGAACAGTTAAGTACTTTGAATTTATTTATTTTTTAAAAGATTTCATTTATTTGAGAGAGAGAGCACAGGGGAGGGGCAGAGGGAGAGGGAGAAGCAGACTCCCTGCTGTGTGGGGAGCCCGATACAGGACTCAATCCCAGAACCCCGGGATCATGACCTGAGCTAAAGATGGTTGCTTAACCGACTGAGCCACCCAGGCATCACTAGTACATTGAATTTGAAGTTATGACTTAATTTGTTCAGATACAGTTACATTTGGCACAATGAAATGCATATGTAGAGGTCTAAGAGATGCGCTTCTGGCCATGAAACTAACCTTGTCATGTTGCTGGGAGGTGAAACAGGTGAAGCCAAAGCGAAACCATCCATCTCAGGAGGGAGGTGATCATTTGGCAGCCCTCCTCCTAGGAAAGCTACAAGCATTCTCTCTCAAGCCTTCTTACCAATTGGCTAGCTCTGGAGACCAAAACACCTGTTCTGTCAACACCCTTTCCTGGTGTTCAGGCTGTGGATGGAATGTCTTTTGAGAGTGAAGTTGACTCCATCTTAGAGTTACCTGAGATCTCCACAAACCGGTGGGTCAAGTTAAGAGTCTGTTAAGGTTTTGGGGATTGCTCCTTTGTTACTCTAGTTGTTTTCCATTTTTGTCCTTACTAGAAACTTGCTTAAGCTTGTTACTGTTTTATTTTTTGGTTGCTGTTTTGATTTATTGTTTGTTACCCTTCCCTCCTCTTTATCTTTACCATTATGATGCCCATCCGATAGTATTCCTTTAGCGGAGGTGGAATGGTGGCTAGAAAAGCATCAGGTGACCAGAGTTCTTTCCTCTTTCTGACCTTTGGGGACTTAGTTTATTTCTGGGAGCCTTGGGGTCTTCACATCCAGAATGACAGGCTAGATGATGTTTATACTTGGGCTATCCATTTCTTAACAAAATTCTTAAAATTAGGCATCTGCTATAGACTGAATGCTTTTTTCACCCCCCCAAATTCATATGTTAAAATCCTTTTTTTAAAAAAGATTTTATTTTTAAGCAATCTCCATACCCAATGTGGGACTCAAACTCACAACCTCAAGATCAAGAGTCACATGCTCTACTGCCCGAGCCAGCCAGGCACCCCCGTATGTTAAAATCCTAACCCCTGAAGTGATGCTATTAGGAGGTGGAACCTTTGGGAGGTGATTAGGTTATGAAGGCTGTGCCCTCATGAATGGGAGAGACTCCAGAGAGATCCATTGCCCGCCTTCCACCATGTGAGGTTGCAGCAAAAGGAGGGCTGTCAGGAAGCAGGCCCACACCAGACACCGAATCTGCCAGTACCATGACCTTGGACTTCTTAGCCTCCAGATCTGTGAGAAATAAATGACTGTGTTTATAAGCCATGCAGTTTATGGTGTTTGTGTTACAGCAGCCTGAACGGACTAAGAGAGCATCCGAGTAACAGTATTGCATACTCACTTGGATAGCTGAGTATCCCTGAGTTTAGAAGCATCCAGGCAGAAGCTAGACATTTGGGAGCCATCAGTTATAAATGGCATTCAAAATTATGAGCTCACATGAGGCCACCAAGGGAGGGAGCTGTAGAAGAGAAGAGGGGCCAGCTGAGCACTGAGTCCTGGGACATCCTCCTATTGCTGGTAAAGGCACAAAGAAGGAACCAATAAAGACCAAACAGCTGTGGCCCGGCAAGTAGGAGGAGAACCAAGAAAACGGAGTGTCTTGGAGAGTCAAATGAGGAAAGTGTTTCAAGAAGAGGGCTGTGTTAAATGCAACAGCTAGTTTAGGTAAGGTAAGGACAGAAAGTTTACCATTGGCTGTAGCGATGTGAGGTCATGGTGGATCTCGATAGGCACCCTTTTGGTGAAGGGATGGCATGGAGGGGACACACTTTAAGGGGGGGAGGGGAATTAGCAAGTTTGAGAACAGAAAAGTGGGGCTGTCACTGAAAGGGAGGGGGCATGAGGTCAAGGTTTTTCTTTTTGTTTGAGTTGGGAGAACCCAAGTAATTGTAATGTTCATATGCTGATAAGGATGATCCAGTAAAGGGAAAAACAGTTATGAAACAAGAGAAACTGGGGACAGTTACAGAACTGTTGTCTTGGATGAGGCAAGAAGGATCTAGTACACGAGGGGGTTGGCCTTACTTAAGAGTTTAGTGTATTCATGG